GGTAGTTACCTACCAGGTAGCTTACCAGATTACCAGGTAGTTACCTGCAACACGTTCTGTTGCAGGAAGAAGGTAGGATTGTGCGTGGTCAGAGAGGCTGCTGCAGGGGAAAGTGTGGGGTTGTGGGGGTTGTGGGGGTTCTGAGGGACTGTCGCAGGTGTGGGCGGGAGTGATGAGGTGATTAATGATTCCTGACCCCATCGTCCTCTACCGCTCCAAACACGAGTGCAGGTTGTGTCACCATGTCCTGCCGACATGAGCACCTTCAAAATGCGTCACCATCTGCATTTAATACACTTGTTACTACCTGCTGCCTCAGGTCCCACAAGGCGTCACCACCTGCATATAATACACTTGTTACTACCTGCTGCCTCAGGTCCCACAAGGCGTCACCACCTGCATATAATACACTTGTTACTACCTGCTGCCTCAGGTCCCACAAGTCGTCACCACCTGCATATAATACACTTGTTACTACCTGCTGCCTCAGGTCCCACAAGTCGTCACCACCTGCATATAATACACTTGTTACTACCTGCTTCCTCAGGTCCCACAAGTCGTCACCACCTGCATATAATACACTTGTTACTACCTGCTGCCTCAGGTCCCACAAGTCGTCACCACCTGCATATAATACACTTGTTACTACCTGCTGCCTCAGGTCCCACAAGTCGTCACCACCTGCATATAATACACTTGTTACTACCTGCTGCCTCAGGTCCCACAAGTCGTCACCACCTGCATATAATACACTTGTTACTACCTGCTGCCTCAGGTCCCACAAGTCGTCACCACCTGCATATAATACACTTGTTACTACCTGCTGCCTCAGGTCCCACAAGGCGTCACCACCTGCATATAATACAACCACTGATGTTTATAAGGAAAACCACTGCTTTGATTTATTCTCATATCAGATATATACAGAAATACAAATCACAGCTTCGTATCACTTTTGCATATGACACAAAATTCAGCAGGAAAATTAACTCTGTTGAAGACATTTAAAAACTTCAAGTGGATATAATAAAGTTTTCGACTAGGCAACAAAAAATTACATGATATTTAACAGTGATAAATTTCAGGTACTCGGGTACGAAAAAATGAGGACCTTAAACACAATAAAGGGTACCAAACACAATCAAATGTGTCCATAGTAGGAAAGCAGCATGTAAATGATATGGGAATAATAATATCTAACAACCTACCATTAATGGAGCATAACCAAGCAAATATTGCGGCAGCCAAAGAAAAATGATCGGATGGATTACGAGAACTTTCATATTCAGGGATATATCATCACAATAGTTCTACTATACAAATCACGTCTACTGTTCCGTCTTGAGTACTGCTCAGTACTCACTTCCCCCTTCAGAGCAGGAGAGATTGCTGAAATATAGGGAATACAGAGAACATATATAGATCCTAAAAAAATTTGGATCGTCTCAAAGCTCTCCAAATGTACTCACTAGAAAGGTGACAGGGAAGATATTAAATAATATACAGGTGGGTGATATTGGAGGGCCAGGTCCCAAATCTACACAGTAAAATAACAACATACTAGAGTGAACGATATGGAAGAAAATAACAACATACTGGAGTGAACGATATGGAAGAAAATGCCGACTAGAACAAGTGAAGAGCCGCGGTGCCATGGGCACAATCAGAGAACACTGTATAAACATCAGAGGTCCACGATTGTTCAACACCCTCCCAGCGAGCATAAGAAATATTGCCGAACAACCGTGGACATCTTCAAGAGAAAACTAGATAATTTTCTCCAAGGATTTTTGATTGATTGTTGGCAAATTTATTGTGCACCCCATACTCATCATGTGAGCGGTAGCGGAAAAAGCATTATAGAGGGCACAAAAGGTCTTTATCAGACCTCATCTTAAATTATTACATAAACAATTTCATCTATCCTTCACACCTTATAGTTACATGTCAGCTAGTTGCAGAGAATGTTCTATTTCAAGAGCTATATTTACAGTAAGTCATTATACATCAATGGTTCGTCTTATCGCTAATACATAATTGTTTTAACAATGGAGATATTACAGAGTCATTGGGGAGCTGCTGTTTAGTATTAGTCTTCACAATACACTATTTGTTTCTTAATCTCATATGTCGTCAATTTACTGGAAGCGAAATATGGATACAGTGCAAGGATTTCAGGTATTTTATCCTTGGTAATAAGATAGGTTGCCATATCATACAGAGTGAGCTTAGATTTATCTCTAAATGGCTCAATTTTACTACAATCCAAGATATAGTGTTCGAGTGTGTGTCCCTGTCTTTGTCCACACACTTTACACTTTACTTCATTTAGGTCCCTATACAAGCCGAACTGCCAGAGATACTTGTAGCCAAGTCTTATTCGAGCTGTGACAACATCTGTTAGTCTACTGACTCCATTACTTGCCCCATACACATGTTTTACTTCACACATTTCATTGTGATAAACAGTGGACCTGCTAGTTCCAGTTTGCACTGTTCTACTTTCTTCAAATCCATCCAGGAGCTCTCGTCTAATGACACTTTTAAGGGACCTATTTGATAACTCAAGATTCCGTTCATTACTGTCTTTATTTACTGCAGCCTTAGCAAGGGCGTCAACTTTGTTATGTTCCTGCAGGCCAATGTGAGAAGGAATCCACAACATTTATATATTTATCCTCTTGCTAAGTATGCTTATATATCTTCGTCTGACTTCTGAGATAAACACGTTATTTCTTGATTGCAAACTGTTTATTGCTCGTAGTGAGGATAGGGAGTCGGAAATAATTAAGCTGTCTACTTCAGTGTTGTCAATAATTTCGAGTGCTACCAGTATCGCTACCAACTCGGCTTGCATTGTGGATGCCCAGTTACTAATTCGGATATTTCTTTGAATTGTGCTGCCATCGGGCTGATGAGCAATAACAGCACTTCCTACCCTCCCTGTAGCTGTATTGAGTGATCCGTCAGTGTATATGGTCTGTGCAATGTTGTTTTCAGCTTGTATATTGTGAATGTGCTCTATGGTGCTTACTTTAGCAGCAAGCTGAGCGTGAGGGTTGCTTGTGATTAGTTTCTTGGTGGGGTATGCAGGGGTCAGGATGCCAAAAAGTACTGTCTGCCCGGGTGGAAGGAAGTGCTGTACTCTTTCATCTGTATATACATCGTGTAGTCCCATAATTTTAATATGGCTGTTCTTTGAATCCATTTAGACTCGCTAGTTCCCTTTATAATAATAATAATAATAATAATTTTTATTTAGGTAAAGGTACATACATAAAGAGATTTTACAAAGTTTGTTGGCTTTATAGATAGAGCTAGTACATACAATGCCTAAAGCCACTAATTACGCAAAGCGTTTCGGGCAAAGCGTTTCGGGCTTTCGTATGTGTTCTAACAGTGCAACTGACACAATGTTGTTTTTATTATCACGCAGCAGCTTTAGTCCCATCATAAGATTAATTTCAAATATTTTATCTCGAATGCTAAATATATTTAATTCTTTCAGCATGTTGGGAACTTTGGTAGTTATAGGATAGCCAAGTATACTTCTGAGTGCTTCATTTTGCATTTTTTCCAGTCTATCAATACTTTTGCCATTTTGCAGGACTAAAGCTGGTGCATGATAGTCTATCAGAGACCTTATATATGCTAAATACATCATTTTTGCTCTTCTAATATTAACACCGCATTTAGGGCTGTACCCCACTACAGTTCTGAGAGCCTTGAGTCTGTCTCTACATTGTTGATGTAACTTATTGACTGCAGTTGAGGTACAAGGGACAGAGACTCCAAGGTATTTGAAAGAAGAGACATAGTCTATTGGTATGTTGTCTATCTTAAGTTTTCGTGGTCCACTTTTGCGGTTGCCAATTTGTCTGTTAAATACCTTAGTTTTAGCAGCGTTGATTACAAGACCAAGGCTCTCACAAGCTGTATGTATACAATTTAAGATTGTTTTCATTTCGTGGTGGGTTTTAGTATGTACAAGGATGTCATCTGCATAGCTGATAGTGATGTTTGCCGGATAAGTTGGTATTTATTTTCTTAAGACATTAATTAGAACATTAAACAAGGTAGGACTTGGTACTCTTCCTTGTGGGGTGCCTAGTTGCATTAATTTAGTTTCACTTTTGTAGCCTTAGAACAGTGCAGATGGACTTCCGGTTGGTAAGATAGCCCCGTATCCATTGTAATAATTGTCCACCTATATCCATTTTCGCTAATTCATTCATAATCACTTCCCTATTAGCAATGCCGGACCAACTGGCCTGTGGTGGATATGTGGACTTGCGGGTCGCTCCAAGCAACAGCCTAGTGGACCAAGATATCACAAGTCAAGCCTGGCCTCGGGCCGGGCTTGAGGAGTAGAAGAACTCCCAGAACCCCATCAACCAGGTATCAACCAGGTACTACACATACAGGTAATAATTATAATACAAGTCACCAGTGTAAACACTCCGTTAATCAGGGTAACTGAAATGCCTGACCAATCGTACTCTAGGCCTAACTATGCATAAACTTACAATATATAAAAATATTAATTAGCGTTAGCATGTTATTGTACTGTATAGTTTATTCATCCTGTCAGTTTGTGGTGTCGTGAATAAGTTTAAAACAGCACCAACAGTCAAAACTGTACTTTCTTCTTATATCTTGCACTAGAGGATGGGGTAGAGCCAAATATTGCTTCAATATCTAATCATAGAATAAACAGTATATAAAAAGACCCACATAACATATTATTAACATTTTGACGATAATATTGACGCTTTAATTGCCACTTATCTTGTTTTGTTTACCTTTTTCTTAATTATTTTAGTGCAGGTGTAATAGTAACAACAACAACGATAACAACAACAACAACAACGACAACAACAACAACAACGATAACAACAACGATAACAAAATAAACAATAATAACTAATAATGACAACAATAACACAAATTTAAATGCTATAGACAAACAGAAATGAACGACATCCTTCAGGCAAACAGAGATGGACCACATCCTTCAGGCCAACAGAGATGGACCACATCCTTCAGGCCAACAGAGATGGACCACATCCTTCAGGCCAACAGAGATGGACCACATCCTTCAGGCAAACAGAGATGTACCACATCCTTCAGGCAAACAGAGATGGACCACATCCTTCAGGCCAACAGAGATGGACCACATCCTTCAGGCCAACAGAGATGGACCACATCCTTCAGGCAAACAGAGATGTACCACATCCTTCAGGCAAACAGAGATGGACCACATCCTTCAGGCAAACAGAGATGGACCACATCCTTCAGGCAAACAGAGATGGACCACATCCTTCAGGCAAACAGAGATGGACCACATCCTTCAGGCAAACAGAGATGTACCACATCCTTCAGGCCAACAGAGATGGACCACATCCTTCAGGCCAACAGAGATGGACCACATCCTTCAGGCAAACAGAGATGGACCACATCCTTCAGGCAAACAGAGATGGACCACATCCTTCAGGCAAACAGAGATGGACCACATCCTTCAGGCAAACAGAGATGTACCACATCCTTCAGACATACGTCAACCACAGACTTTAGGTAGAGGTGAGCCAAGTGCTTCCGCCAAGCAGAGTAGATTGGATAAGTATCCAAAGGATTGGATGGTGGAGGGGACGGGGAAGGATAGGCGAACCTGTCGAAGGTAACGGGTGTAGTTTTGGGGGGTCCGTCTAATTACCACATGCTACCACAAACTACACAAACTTCAGAAAGCTTCCTGGCAATACGTTAGTAATGAATAAATATGATATATTAAGTTAGGCTGACCTAACCTAACCTAACCTAACCTATCCTAACCTAACCTAACCTAACCTAACCTAACCTAACCGAAGCTTGGATCGTCGACTTGATTTGGCGTCACCAGCTTTTTATTTTCGTCTAATTTCTTTATAAAAAGATACTTTTTCAGATTAAAATTATGTTTTTTCGTGTTGTACATTCAGCACCAACATTATAATGAGTAAATATATCATATTTATTCATTACTAACGTATTGCCAGGAAGCTTTGTGAAGCTTGTGTAGTTTGTGGTAGTTTGTGGTAATTAGACGGACCGATCGCAGGTACAGGATGGGGTTCTGGGAAGCCGGAGGGTCTGTCACTGGTACAGAGTGGGGTTATTGGTGGTCGATGGGGGCCTGTCGCAGGGACAGGGTGGGGGTGTTGGAGGGACCGGAGGGGCAGTCGCAGAAACAGGGTGGGGTTGTGGAGGTGTAGGAAGGTCTGTCACTGGTACTGGGTGGGGGTTGTAGGGGGCAGGAGGAATGCATAATAGAACCAGTGAAGAGCAGAGGTGCCATAGGCACAATCAGAAAACACTGTATAAACATCAGAGGTCCACGGTTGTTCAACGTCCTCCCAGCAAGCATCAGAAATATTGCCGGAACAACCGTGGACATCTTCAAGAGGAAACTAGATTCATTCCTCCAAGGAGTACTGGAGCAACCGGGCTGTGGTGGGTATGTGGGCCTGCAGGCCGCTCCAAGCAACAGCCTAGTGGACCAAACTCTCAAAAGTCAAGCCTGGCCTCGGGCCGGGCTTGGGGAGTAGAAGAACTCCCAGAACCCCATCAACCAGGTATCAACCAGGCTGTCGCAGGTGAGGGCGTGAGTGATGAGGTGATTAATGTTTGCTGACCCCAGCGTCCTCTACTGCTCCAAACACAAGTGCAGGTTGTGTCGTCATGTCCCGCCAGCTTCAGCACCTATAAAATGCGTCACCACCTGCATATAATACACTTGTTAATACCTGCTGCCTCAGGTCCAACAAAGCGTCACCACTCACAAATAATGCACTTGTTCTTACCTGTAGCCTCAGGTCAAATGGAAACCTATATACCCTTGTTACTTTCACTTATGTGTACATAGTCAGTAAATTGCTTCGTTACCATTAGTTATGATAGTTCAGTTTACTGTGAGTCTTCCTTCTATTAACTCTCCTCCTCTATGTAATAATAAATGAGTACTTTTAACGTTGTTAACACCAGAATTACACAAATTATGGAACTAGCTTTGGCTATAGACTGGCCACCAATACTTACTCTCACCTTCTGCAGTTACAATCTGTACAGTGACGACCTCGCTTCTTGAACTTCTTCGTTCGATCCTCGGTGGTCTGAGTGGTCGGGTATAGCTTCCTAACTCCGTCACCCCCCCCCCCCTATCCCAGCTGCTATCCTCTCCTCTTATTACATTCATATGCTATATAGTCATCATGGGTTTGCTTTTTCTCCTTATAATTTCCTTCCTTTTCTTCAACTGGGAAATCTATAGCTTAGGTTGGGTACCTGAGTGGCAGTGGTTGATACCACTCAGGAACCCAACCAATGGGATAGTCCAAGACTCTTTTTAGGGAGCCTTTTATTGGGCTTTCACAGCCCATCATTAACGCAGACTTCAAATAGTGACCTCATAAAATCTACATATGTTCAATATTTGACATATAGTCCACCTGTCTATAACTTGAATTGTGCTTCGTTCACATTCAGCCACCAGTGTAAACACTCCGTTAATCAGGGTAACCGAAGCACCTGACCTAACCTAACCTAACCTACTCTATTCCAAACTATGCATAAAATTACAATATGTAAAAATAGTAATTAGCATTAGCTATGTTATTATACTGTATAGTTTATTCATCCTCTCAATTTGTCGTTTTGTGAGTAAGTCTAAAACAGTACTTAGTAAAAACTGTCACTTTTACTTAAAGCTTAGATTAGAGGATGGGTACAACCAGATATTGCTCCAATATCTTATCATAGATTAAACAATATATAAAAATTAGCCACAAAACTTATTATTGTTATCTTGGCGATAATATTGACACTTTAATTGTCATTTATCTTGTTTTCAATACCTTTATTAAAATTATTTTAGTGCAGGTACGATAGCAACAACAACAACATGAACATCAACAGCAACAACAACAACAATAATATCAACATCAACCACAACATTACCAATACATTAAGAATAACAACAATTTCAACAATAATAACTAATATTAACAACAATACAAAAAAAAAATAAATGCCATAGACAAACAAAAATGGTTCACATGCTTCAGGCCAACAGAGATGGACCACATGCTTCAAGCAAACAAAAATGGACCACATGCTTCAAGCAAACAAAAATGGACCACATGCTTCAAGCAAACAAAAATGGACCACATGCTTCAAGCAAACAAAAATGGACCATATGCTTCAAGCAAACAAAAATGGACCATATGCTTCAAGCAAACAAAAATGGACCATATGCTTCAAGCAAACAGAGATGGACCACATGCTTCAAGCAAACAAAAATGGACCACATGCTTCAAGCAAACAAAAATGGACCACATGCTTCAAGCAAACAAAAATGGACCATATGCTTCAAGCAAACAAAAATGGACCATATGCTTCAGACAAACAGAGATGGACCACATCCTTCAGGCCAACAGAGATGGACCACATCCTTCAGGCAAACAGAGATGGACCACATCCTTCAGGCCAACAGAGATGGACCACATCCTTCAGGCAAACAGAGATGGACCACATCCTTCAGGCCAACAGAGATGGACCACATCCTTCAGGCAAACAGAGATGGACCACATCCTTGAGGCCAACAGAGATGGACCACATCCTTCAGGCAAACAGAGATGGACCACATCCTTCAGGCAAACAGAGATGGACCACATCCTTCAGGCCAACAGAGATGGACCACATCCTTCAGGCCAACAGAGATGGACCACATCCTTCAGGCAAACAGAGATGGACCACATCCTTCAGGCCAACAGAGATGGACCACATCCTTCAGGCAAACAGAGATGGACCACATCCTTGAGGCATACCCCAACCTGTGAGCGGCAGTGGAACCCATAGCAATCTTGTGTCCTCTCTTTTCTTATCACCTGGTAGCCCTCTGGAAAGAATGCATTCGAGATCATGTCATTTATTTTAGGATCCACTATTGCAACTATGTCAGGATCTGCCTCACTCTTTCTTTTATCTCTTCTGCTTTATTAGATACCCCATCAGCATTGGTGTACCAAACCTTGAGATTCTTCATGGAAACTCTGGTATCAGAGTTCGCCCTTTCTCTGGGGGTCTGGGGGATCCGGGGAGGGTGTCTGGCGGGATCCGGGGGGGGGGGGTCTTGGATAAATAATAATAATAAAATAAAGAGCCTTAAACAGAACAACATGTGTGGAAGCATCGGTGTGTGTATATATGAATGCTACACAGTATTCATCTGTAGACATCCAGATATGGTGAAACACATGTGAAGAACCTCTCACACACTCACAGCTCCCTGACAAGAGAGAGCCAGCTTAGCTTAGCTGCCAACACCCACACATCGTGTCAGCAAGGCGGACAGCCCGCCTGCTTCCATACCTCACGCTGTTTTTCCTACATCTATACTTCCCTTCACCTATGCCTCTCCTTCCTCCTTACTTCAAAAAAAAAATAAAAAAGGGGGGGGGGTCATGGAGGTGAATGAGGTCTGGAGGGGTGCTTGGGGGGGGGGGGGCAAATGGGGACTGGGCATCTAGAAAGGTAGGTAGGAAGGTCTGGGGTAGGGCCTGGGTAGGTAGGTCTGGAGTAGGAAGGGCATACTGGGTCTGAAGATTAGGGATAGTCTGAGAGGCATACATGTGTTGAGAGGTAGCGTATGGTTAATAGAGGTTTAGAGGCAGATAGAGGTTGAGAGGTTTGGGGGGGAGAGAATGATAGAGGGGGTGGGGGGAATAGGGGCAGATGGAACATGGATAGTGAGAGAGGGAGGGAGGTTGTATTAGTCAGGGGTAGGTGTGGGCATTGGGGCAGAAGGGGGGGAAGAGGGAAATGGAGGAAGAGGTGGGGGTGGGGCCCCCCCCTTCCCCTACTGGGGTTCCATGTGCCCCCTTGCAAGGGTAGGGGGCCACATGGAAGGAGAGGGGAAGAGGAGGGGTGAGGGCTGGGCGGGTTTTGGGGGTTGAGGGGATGAGGGGGTCCTTGGAATGTAGGATGAGGCAGATCGATTTAAATGCAATGGGGTCAGAGGGGTCAGGTGAGGTACTGGAGAGATAAACAGGGGCAGGGAGGGCTGATTTGGGTATGGAGTGACCTGGGAAGCAGGTGTGAGCTGGTTAGCACAAGGTGGGGCACGGGGTGGGTTAGCACTGGGGTGTGTAGCTATGCTCAGATGGGAAGAGTTGTATCGTGGAAGTTTGCTCGCCCTGTGAGCTATCTGTTCATCTTTCGTCATGTATCTGTCAATATACACGTTGTAGTAGTTTTGCTACCTTTGAGTAAGTGTTTGTGATGCAGTATGTAATCCACTGCCTCCTCGTTAGTTAACTGTACCAGGACAGGTCGTTTCCTGTCGCAGTTGTATGGTCCAATACAGCAGTGGACTTGCACCTCATTCCCTGCCATCCTGGCTTGTATATCTGTCTAGATTCCCTGTAGCTCCAACTCTTCAATCTCCATCCTTTCCTGTGTGTGTGTGTGTACTCACCGAATTGTGCTTGCGGGGGTTGAGCTCTGACTCTTTGGTCCCGCCTCTCAACCGTCAATCAACAGGTGTACAGAATCCTGAGCCTACTGGGCTCTATCATATCTACACTCGAAACTGTGTATGGAGTCAGTCTCCACCACATCACTTCCTAATGCATTCCATTTGTCAACCACTCTGACACTAAAAAAGTTCTTTATAATATCTGTGGCTCATTTGGGCACTCAGTTTCCACCTGTGTCCCCTAGTGCGTGTGCCCCGTGTGTTATGTCTTTATCTACCCTGTCGATTCCCTTGAGAATCTTGAATGTGGTGATCATGTCCCCCCTAACTCTTCTGTCTTCCAACGAAGTGAGGTTTAATTCCCGTAGTCTCTCCTCGTAGCTCATACCTCTCAGCTCGGGTACTAGTCTGGTGGTAAACCTTTGAACCTTTTCCAGTTTAGTCTTATGCTTGACTAGATATGGACTCTATGCTAGAGCCGCATACTCCAGGATTGGTCTGACATATGTGGTATATAATGTTCTGAAAGATTCCTTACACAAGTTTCTAAATGCCGTTCTTATGTTAGCCAACCTGGCATACGCCGCTGATGTTATCCTCTTAATATGAGCTTCAGGGGACAGGTCTGGCGTGATATCATCCCCCCAGGTCTTTCTCTCTCTCTCTCTGACTCCTGAAGTATTTCATCTCCCAAATGATACCTTGTATCTGGTCTCCTGCTTCCTACCCCTATCTTCATTACATTACATTTTCTTGGGTTAAATTCTAACAACCATTTGTTCAACCATTCCTGCAGCTTGTTCAGGTCTTCTTGAAGCCTCAAGCTGTGCTTCTCTGTCTTAATCCTTCTCATAATTTTGGCGTCGTCAGCAAACATTGAGAGGAATGAGTCTATACCCTCTGGGAGATCATTTACATATATCAGAAACAGGATAGGACCGAGTACAGAGCCCTGTGGGACTCCTCTGGTGACTTCACGCCTATCTGAGGTCTCACCCCTCACTGTAACTCTCTGCTTCTTATTGCTTAGGTACTCCCTTATCCACTGGAGCGCCCTACCAGTTACTCCTGTGTGTTTCTCCAGCTTATGCATCAGCCTTTTATGGGGTACTGTGTCAAAGGCTTTCCGACAGTCCAAAAAAATGCAGTCCGCCCATCCTTCTCTTTCTTGTTTAATCTTTGTCACCTGATCGTAGAATTCTATTAAGCCTGTAAGGCAAGATTTACCCTCCCTGAACCCATGTTGATGGGTTGTCACGAAGTCTCTTCTCTCCAGATGTGTTACTAGTTTTTTTCTCACAATCTTCTCCATCACCTTGCATGGTATACAAGTTAAGGACACTGGCCTGTAGTTCAGTGCCTCTTGTCTGTTACCCTTTTTGTATATTGCGACTACATTCGCCGTCTTCCAAATTTCTGGTAGGTCTCCCCGTTTCCAGTGACCTACTATACACTATGGAAAGTGGCAAACAAAGTGCTCCTGCACACTCTTTCAATACCCATGGTGGGATTCCGTCCGGCCCAACAGCTTTTCTCACATCCAGCTCCAATAGGTGCTTCTTGACCTCATCACTTGTAATTTCAAACCTTTCCAAGGTCGCCTGGTTTGCTGCCACCTCTCCTAGCGCCGTGACTTCTCCTTGTTCTATTGTAAAGACCTCCTGGAACCTTTTGTTGAGTTCCTCACACACCTCTTTGTCATTCTCTGTGTACCTGTCCTCGCCCACCCTAAGTTTCATCACCTGTTCCTTCACTGTTGTCTTCCTCCTGATGTGACTGTGTAGTAGTTTTGGTTCGGTCTTGGCTTTATTAGCTATATCATTTTCATACCTCTTCTCAGCTGCTCTTCTCACACTGACATACTCGTTCCTGGTTCTCTGGTATCTCTCTCTCCTTTCTGGTGTTCTGTTATTACGGAAGTTCCTCCGTGCCCTTTTGTTCAGCTCCTTTGCTTTCATATATTCCCTATTAAACCACGGAGTCTTCCTTTGCTTCTCTGTTTTTTCCTGTCGGGCTGGGACAAACCTGCTTACAGCCTCCTGACACTTTTGGGTGACATAGTCCATCATGTCTTGTACGGACTTGGTTCCGAGTTCTGTGTCCCTTTGTATATCCCTTAGAAATTTATTCATCTCCTCATAGTTTCCCTTTCGGTACGCCAGCCCCTTGTTTCCCAATTCTTTTTTGGGGGAGATAATTCGTAGCTCAACCAGGTACTCAAAGCTCAATACACTATAATCACTCATTCCCAGAGGGGATTCTAGCTTAACTTTCCTAATATCTGACTCATTAAGGGTAAATATCAGATCAAGCAAGGCTGGTTCGTCCTCTCTCATTCTTGTCGGTCCCTTGACATGTTGACTTAGAAAGTTTCTTCTTGCCATGTCCAGCAGCTTAGCTCTCCATGTGTCTGATCCTCCATGTGGGTCTCTGTTCCCCCAATCTATTTTCCCATGGTTGAAGTCTCTCATGATTAGTAGGCTGGATCCGTTCCTGCTAGCCACAGAAGCTGCTCTCTCTATTATATTGATGGTGGCCATGTTGTTTCCGTCATATTCCTGTCTGGGTCTTCTGTCGTTCAGTGTGGGGTTATATATGACTACTACTATAATTTTCTGTCCTCCAGTTGCTATGGTGCCTGATATGTAGTCACTGAAACCATCACAGTTCTGATTTACCATCTCTTCAAAACACCAACTTTTTCTTATCAGCAAAGCTACACCACCTCCTCCTCTTCCTTCTCTCTCTTTCCTCACTACATACTAGTCCTGTGGAAACACTGCATTTGTTATGATTTTCGTTAGCTTTGTTTCTGTGAGTGCTATTATGTCTGGGTTTTTTCTAGTGCCCATTCTCCGAGTTCACTTGTTTTATTTGAAATCCCATCTATGTTAGTGTACATTACCTTGAAGCTCACTTTCTTCTGTTCATTTTCTAGTCCCCTTCTTGGCGAGCATTCTGCTGGTGGGAAAAGCTGTTCCCTGGGTGAGAAGATCTGTGAGGTGGTTTGCACGGTCTCAGAGGATTTTGGGGTGGAGGATGGGGGGTACAAGGGAAGGGGGGACAGGTAGGGTGTGGGTTAAGGAGATGGGGGGGGGGGTGACCTGGGGATACGGGGTGAGGGGGAGGAGGGATAGGGAGGGTATGGGATGAAGGGGGAGGGGGGACAGGGGGGGAAGGCGGGAGAGGGGACATGGTGGGAATGGGGGAGGGGTGATAGGGTCAGAATGGGGTGGGGGGGGGAAGGGAGGGTTGGGTGAGCATTTGGGTGGGGGCAGGTAGGGTGAGGGGAAGAGAGGGTTTCTGTGCAGAGGGGGGTGGCGTTGTTGCCCTCTCCTCTTGTATTTTTGGGATGCTGGTTGTGGGTTTCCCTCTTATCTTT